GAGAAGATCCTTGCCCAGTGTCACGGGAAGGGACAGAGCAGGGCGGGAGCGCCCGCAGAGAGCAGGGAAATGCGGGACAAAGCGCTCGGGCTGGACAAGCCCTGGCTGCCACACTCGTGGGGTTGGGGACGTGGAGCTGGTTGCTCAGGAGGCACCAGGGTGTGCGAAGCAGCAGGGAACGGCGGGGCTGTGGGATGAGCAAGGCGGGAGAAGGAGTGGGAGGGAGGCGCTGGGAGTGAACCACGCCGCCGGGTACAGCCGACGTGGGCGCCTGGGAACGCCAGGCCGGTGGGTGCGGGGTTGTACGCACCCGGGGGGCTGCACCCCCGGTGGGATGCGGCCAGAGCTGTCCCTGGGCACCGGTGGGGCAGGAGGGAAGGCGAGTGCTGGGCTGGGGGCTGTGGGGAACGGGCAGGGCAGCGGGGGCTCGGCCCTGGCAAGAGGCGCTGGTGCTCCCTGAGACCGCCAGGCAGGGGGGTGCTGGGGCTGCCCCTGCCCTGGGTCTCTGTCCATGTGCGGGGCTGGGACAGGGCGAGAGCTCCTGGTCGCTGACACCCACCGCCCTGCTCCCAGCCCTGGTGCTTCATCAGTGCCCGTCCGAGCCGCGCCGCAGCAGAGGTGCCATGGGGCCTGGGTGCGCCGGCGTCCTGGGCTGGCTCCTGCTGGTGCAGGCAGCGCTGCAGGCAGCAGGTGAGTGCTGCTGCCCTGTCCCCGAGCAGGGGGGGCTGCAGAGCTTGCGGGGGGCAAAGCCATGAGTTTGGTGTCTGTGGTGAGGGGAAGGGGTGAGCTGGGCTTCTGCTGCAGCTCTCTGTGCCTGCCCGGTCTCTCGTCCTGCCGCAGGCGGCCGGCCCTGCGATGCCAGGGACTTCGGCCACGGCTCCCTGGTGTGCGCCTGCAGCGCCACGTACTGCGACACGCTGGACCCCCTGGTCCTGCCGGCGCCGGGCACCTACATCAAGTACGAGAGCAGCAAGGCCGGGAAACGGCTGGAGCGCAGCCAGGGGAGCTTCCAGCACAACACCAAGACCCCAGGTACCCATGGCCAGACGCCTGCCTGCACTCTGGGGGACAGAGTCTGTCCCTGCGCAGCGGCTGCGACAATGTGACGATGTTGGTCCCTCACAGATTTCCACCTCACCCTGGACACGGCGCAGAGGTACCAGAAGGTGAAGGGCTTTGGTGGTTCCGTCACAGACTCAGCTGCCATCAACATCCAGTCCCTGTCCAAGGATGCCCAGAATCACCTGCTCCGCTCCTATTTCTCCGAGGAAGGTGAGCCTGGGGCAGGGCAGCGCTGCCCGGTTGCAGGGCCGGTCTGTCTGGCCTCCCCTGCTTGGGGTCTGGGTGCCAAGACTCGTGCCGAGGGGCTGGGAGGCTGCTGGGGGACTGCACCCCCTGAATGCACCCCAGGGCTGCTCATCACCGCCCGCCCTGTCCCCAGGCATTGAGTACAACCTCGTGCGCGTCCCCATGGCCAGCACCGACTTCTCCATCCGCCTGTACACTTATGCTGATGCCGAGGGTGACTTCGAGCTGAAGCACTTCAACCTGACGGAGGAGGACACACGGATGAAGGCGAGTCCCATGGGGCGAGCCCGAGGCATCGGGACTGCAGCCTGGGTGGGATGGGATGGTGAAGGGGAGCACAGTGCCAGTGCTGGAGCAGATCTGGAGAGCTCACTGCCATCCCGGTTCTCCCCAGATCCCCATCCTCCAGGCAGCCCAGAAAGTGGCCAAGCGGCCGCTGTCACTGTACGCCAGCCCCTGGACGTCCCCGGTCTGGATGAAGACGAACGGTGCGATGACGGGGAGGGGGACACTGAAGGGCAGCCCTGGGGACAAGTACCACCAGACCTGGGCCAAGTACTTTATCCGGTGAGGGGCTGTGGGAGCACGGTGGGTGCTGGGGTCGCTGTGTCCAGGGCTGGGGCTGGTGCTGCTGCGACGGGGCCTTTCACCATCTGCCCTGCGCCCAGGTTCCTGGATGAATATGCCAAGTACAACCTGACCTTCTGGGCAGTGACGGCGGGGAACGAGCCCACGGCCGGTGAGATCGTCTTCTACCCCTTCCAGTGCCTGGGCTTCTCCCCCGAGCACCAGCGGGACTTCATTGCGCGGGACCTGGGCCCCGCACTGGCCAACAGCTCCCACCGCGACGTCCAGCTCATCATCCTGGATGACCAGAGGGTGATGCTGCCCTACTGGGCGCAGGTGGTGAGTTCCCACGGTGGCTCTCCTGGCCCCACGGTGGCTCTCGCAGCCCTGGGCACTGATGTCTCCTTTCTCCTGCCAGGTTCTCAAAGACCCTGTGGCCGCCAGCTACATCAGCGGCATTGGCATCCACTGGTACCTGGATTTCCTGGCGCCCATTGACCTCACGCTCTCCATCACCCATCATCTCTTCCCAGACTATTTCCTCCTCTCCACAGAGGCCTCCACTGGCTCCTACTTCTGGGAGCCCAGGGTGGTGCTGGGTGGCTGGGACCGTGGGAGCAAGTACAGCCACAGCATCCTGACGGTAGGGCTCTGCGGGGGCCGCTGACGCGCCGGCCACCCCCTGCGCCCACCGCAGCTCAGCGCCGTCACCTGCCCCACAGAACCTCAACAACTATGTGACGGGCTGGACCGACTGGAACCTGGCCCTGGACCTGGAGGGGGGCCCCAACTGGAGCAAGAATTACGTGGACAGCCCCATCATTGTGGACAGCAGCAAGGACATCTTCTACAAGCAGCCCATGTTCTACCACCTGGGGCACTTCAGGTGGGTGGGGGCTAGGGGTGGCCAGCAAGGGGCTGCTGGCTCCTGCTGCCGGCTCCAGCCGCCATCCCAAGCACCACGCTCAGGCCCTGCATGTCTCTGCAGCAAGTTCATCCCTGAGGGCTCGCAGCGCGTGGGGTTGACTGTCTCCAAAAAGTGCCGCCGGTGTGACCTAGAGCACTCTGCTTTCCTGCGCCCCGATGGTGCCGTTGTCCTGGTGGTCCTGAACCGGTGAGTGGCTCAGCCCCGCACCCTGGCTCGAAGCCTGGCTGCCCCCTCTGACCCACATCCCCTCTCGCATCCCCACAGCTCCCCCGTGGACGTGTCCTTCGGGATCTCCGACCCGCAGCTTGGCTTCATCGAGGCCACGGCTCCCAGTGACTCCATCCAGACTTTCCTGTGGAAGCAGCCAGCCTAGTGCGGGGGGGCGAGGTACCGGCACTGGGAGCTCAGTGCTGGTGGAGAGCTTGGGGACAGACCCCTGCGTGGGGCTGGGGCTGCGGAACAGCCCCTGCAGCCCCACAATGCCCCAGGGGACCTGTTTGATCCAAGGGCTGCAACACCTGCTCTTTTCTAGATGTTTTCATAAAATAAACAGGTTTTCTACGACCTTGCCTGCGCCCCCTCTGCCCTCCCCTGCTGCCTGCTCAGCGGGCAGGACTGTGCCAGCAGCCAGACGAGGAGGCGGGTTTGGGGCTGGTGGTACCTGCTGAACCCCATGGGGTCCCATCCTGCCTCTGCCCCAGTTCCTGGGGGTACGTGAGGCAGGGGGGCAGCATCTCCCTCCCCTCTGCCCACTGCAGCATCCCCCAGGCAGGGCGGGGGCCAGAGGCCGGCAGAGACCGGGGGCCGCAGCAGCGGGGTTTAGCACGGGGCCCGACATCAGAGCCCTGGTTTCCCCTCCCGGCCGAGCAGGCGGCCACGTGCTGCGGTTTCTCCTCCCGGAGCAGCCGTCAGCCCCCCCGCCCCCCCAGCTAATGGGAACCGGGAGCGTCGGGCTCATACTTCCCGAGTGACGTTATGGGGGAGCGGGCACGGGGGGGCTGCACTGAGTCATCCCCCTCCCAGTGGGGCCCCCTCAAACTGGGCCAGCGTGGGGGAGGCTCCACAGCCGGCCCCAGCACTGCGGCTCCACTGCCGGCACAAGGCGGGGGGGTCCCCCCAAACCCCCCCCAT